TTCCAGTGAAATATATTTATGTTTGTGGTTGTAATGTGACAAAATATGGAAAAGTTCAAGGGGTATGAATACTTTTGCAAACCACTGTACACAGTATTTCACAACAGTGCAAGTACATATATACCTGTTAAACATGAGTTGTGCCTAAAGTACACACTTCATTCATTTTGAATGCACTCGAAGAGCATGTTTCCAAAAAACAGCACCACTAAGTCACTTTGACAGGCAGCATTCACTAAATTTGTAATGGTTTGCATTTAGAGCTCTGTTCTCGTAGCTTTCTCTTTTCTTTTCTGTTGTCAAAGGTTGGGTTTCTCATCCCTCTGTGAACAATCTTCCTGTTTGCTTAGATAGCGTTTGGCAGCTGCATCACCATCAGCCAAACGAAGACATTCAGCAGCGCTGGTCAATATTCCTGGAGTGTTTTTGCCCCTTCGATCAAACCTACTTTAAACATCCATTATAAGCAAAGACAAGAGCAGCTTGGATGGAGAGTGAGAAGCAGAACGATGCATCTGTGTAATGTTGGAAACCAGCATCCTGAGTATGAACATGCACAAAACCTCTTGTCACTGTGGGGTTTCCCCTCATGATCAACTTTGTTTTTTTTCCATGTTCTCACTGCTCTTCAGTGTGATCAAGAGCAGGAAAAAGAGGTTTTATGCAGTTTAGTGTTCTTGCATGTCTTCTGCTTGTGAGGCTGATGGGTGAGGCTTGTGTTTGCTCTGTCCTTTATAGATGACAGAGCCTTCCTGACAGCAGCCTGTCACTCTGACGAGGTGGATGCTGCAGAAGCAACCCTGCCAACAAATTAAAATTACTAACAGGGTACTTGTGTGGTGCAGCGTCTGCTGATGCTTGGTTTTCTCTTGTTTTCACTGATGTCACAGAAGAGTCAGAGTTAGTACTGTCTTATACCTGTAGGCACATTTGTACACAGCTTTCTTTTGCACGAAAGTCAGACAAATGCAGATTGTCCTGCATTGTGTTTTGTTAAAACAATCACATGTAAATACGCAGTTTTGGCTGCTACATAATTATCGTGGCTACAACTCCGTCAAATTATAATAAAGAAAATTTACAATTGCTGCTCACAACATTTATTAATGCTAACAAATCACTTTTTTCTTTTTTTGTATTCATCTTTTGCACATATGGCTGTATAAATGTATTATTGTAAGGATCATGCATCTTTAACCTTGCACTGGAAAAGTAGACGTATCACCAGTGCAAGTATTAAATAATTGAGCTAATTTTAGGTAAATTTAAAACAAAATGGCCTAAAAATTATTCAGCATTACTTAAGTTATCATAACCAAGTCTTCAGGAGCTTGTACAAAACGCTATTACCTAATAAAACTAACCGCTAATGTAAACAAAGAACAGCAATACAAACAAACCTGACAAAACCTTCTGCAGGTATTTCCTAACACAGTCAACTGCATTTATGTTACTGAAGTAGGTTAGGAGGGAAAATGTGCTGAGTGAACCCTCGCTGAGTCCACTTCTTATTCGTGAGCTGGCTCGTGACCCAGATATGACAACAGACAACATTTTGAAAATCATAAAAGCCACGCAGAACCTAAGCAGGTGCTCTGACAAGAACAAACACTCATCCAGTTTCTATCCACCAGCAAAAAAAGGACAGTTGTACCACAGATAACTTCTCACTGGGTGCAACTAAAAGAAAAAAAAAAGCTATTTTGATGTTAACATTTTGGTTCGACTTTTATACATACTGTAAATGCCTTGTCAAATAATCATGAAACTATTTCCGTTAAACCAGGTGATTTTGTTGGTTTTATATGTACAATGGTGTTACAAGGTACTCAAACCTGAGGATGCCAAATTAGTCTTGTGACTTATTCATTTCACTTTCTCATGCAATGTTTATTATACCTAATTTAGGCTTAATTAGATCCATGTTTGTGTCAGCTCTTAATGACTTGATCTGTCTAACCTGGCTTTCAACTAGTTGTTTTTGTAAGGATCAGTTTATTTTTTTATGTACATATCTTACAAATAAGACTTAACTGGAACCGGTATTCGAGTTCAGCCTTTGATACAGTGAATCTGTTGACTTACTGATATGTTCAGCTGATCTTTAGTCTGTCTTCTCTGTTAGACTTAGTCACTATGAAATATCAGGCTGCTTGGCTGGCGATACACAAACACAGACGCACACACACGCACCAACGTGCACTCGCACACCAAGAGTATCAACATTGTGAAATATGAGCCTGCCTCTTTGCTCGGTGGACACACGAAGAGGAAGGAAGGAAGAAAGAAAGAAAGAAAGAAAGAAAGAAAGAAAGAAAGAAAGAAAGAAAGAAAGAAAGAAAGAAAGAAAGAAAGAAAGAAAGAAAGAAAGAAAGAAAGAAAGAAAGAAAGAAAGAAAGAAAGAAAGAAAGAAAGAAAGAAAGAAAGAAAGAAAGAAAGAAAGAAACTAAGAAACGAACTAACTTTTGGCTCTATGATCATAAATAAGTACATGGCGATGTGACAGAGTGGAAACACTCCATAAAGTCTGCTCCTAAACTGTGTTAAAGTGTAACACACTCACACAGTGTCACACTGACTGGAAAACACACAACACTTTCAATCCAACTTGGCCTGTGCTCTTCAAATAGAAATATGCATCCCTACGGATGTGGCTGTTACTATTTCCAGGGTCAGAGAACTGAGTGGACACGAGCGAGCGTGTCATTTCATCTGCTCCTGGAGTTTGAGGATTACCTCTGCCACAATGAGACTCAAGCATGTAGAAAAGAGGATAAGAGACTAGACAGAGGAGGCAGCTGACAGGAGAGGAAATGAAGAGTGGGGTGGGCGAGGAAAAACAGCTGAGAGGAATAAAGAGAGGAGCAGAGGACAGGAAGAGACAAAAAAGAAAGAAAAAAAAACAGCAGAGTGGGAACCTTATACTGGAATAGCCAGCAACTAAAAGCTGTAGACTCCACCCTTCTCTCCCCCTCCCCTTACTCTCTCTTTCTATCTCTCTCCCCAGCTATCTCTCCCTCTCTCCTTCGAAAAGCCGTCTCCCAGTCTGTCATTTGACCAGGCAGTTCATAGAGGCAAGAGCTCAGCGCCAAAGAAAGCGAGAGGGGGGAGGCAGGAAAGCAGACGGAGCAAAAAGAACATGTTCAGTCTGACAATAGGACTGCTGGGATATTTATCTGCTCTCTAAACCCCACTCAGCTGGAGGTGGATTTCTCTCTGTTGCTGCTTCTTTTGTGGACTCGCAGCCTCTTGGATGAGGGCTGTAGTGCTGCTCACAGTCAACTGAGGAAGAGGAGGAGGAGGAGGAGGATTCATCTGACACCTTTTTTGGAGATTTACACTTTGAGGAGTAGACCTCAAGAAGAACTATAAGAAAGAAAGAAAAAGGAGAGAGGTGGGGTGGGCAGTGGTGGGGTGAGAGTGACTGAGTGCCGGGGCCCCATGCCCACCTCTGCTCATGGTTCAACAGCATGAAAGGGGGCCACCATCATCATCGTCACCACCGAGGCTGCGGCTGCCAGCACTTGTTCCGTAAAGTCCTGGTCAAGTGTGGCTGCTGCTATGCCCGGGTCAGAGGTCAGTGCTCATTATTGTTACAGTTTTGTTTATTGTTTTATCGACTGCTGAACTAAAGCCTCGTCTTCTTTGACTTGTTGTTCTGATCCGTTCTTGAGTCTGCAGCAGGCAGAGCAGCAGATGTGTGGGACTTCCACATCCTTCCTACAGATGACTGCACAGTAGGAAACAGGAAGGAGGATGTGCATCGTCCCCCCAAGATAGAGAGGGAAAACAAGTGTGTGTGAGACTGTGTGTGTGTGTGTGTGTGCGTGTATAAGTCTTGAAAGTGACCCTCTTCGTCAAGATGAGTGTGTGTCATTAAGTTATGTGCAGTACGTGGAAGGATGACACCAAACTTTTTCACTTGTCTTTCAAACGCAGAAAACTCTGTAAAACACTGTGGTTTGTTGATGCTGAGTGATGAGTGTGCAGCAACAACTTGGTTGAAAGAGTTTATTTGGAAACAGGTAGTGTAATTTTAAACTGAATTCTGCTAAAATCAAAAGTCTCTTCCTGCCTTTTTGATAACCTCTATGACCTTTGACCTCGTGGCCTAAAAGCTGAGTTAAAACAGTGTCTCAACTGTGCCTGTCTGAGTTTATGCTCCGGTGCCGTGCCGTGGGTTTGTTCCCATTTTATAAGCTCACATCAAAGCCAGGTACAGTACAGAGTAGCTACCCATTGAGGCTTTGTGCTCGAGTGGTGGCGGTGGTGGGGCTCCTGAGGTTTCACATTATTGGCCAGCGTAGTCGGACGCATACCTCAGATTCCTTTAGTTTAATCTCTTATGCAATGGATATTCTCCTTTTCCATCGTCTGCAGCTCCCCGCTGCACCTCTCCACCATGTTATCACAGCAAATATGCACACACTCACATCATAATATATAAACATGTGGGGGATTGGAGGACTCGAACGTTTCAGGCTATTAGAGGAATCCTCAATAAAAAGTACAGTGAACATGTTTTTTTAATCATCTTCCACAGGCCTAGGCAGAGCAGTAATGCTTTTGCTGGTGTGTTTGTTTGTCGGTATTACTGGCAAAATATCTCAGATTTTAATTAGGATTTAATAAAGTTGTGGACATCTGCAAGAGAATAACTCTTGCAGTTCACTTGGTTCAAGATGGCTGCCACAGCAAAGCAAGTTTAGTAAACACCAAAGTGGCTACAACCTGGTTTGTTTTACAGATGAGCTAAAGTTTGTTGAGGTAGACGCTGAGAGTGATTCTTAACACACGGTAACAGGTCACGTGAGATATCAAAACTATTATTATTTCCTCAAAGGAATGCTAAGTCTTTCATTTCAATCAGTCTTTCAGTTGTTTCTTTAAATATCATACAAAGTTTTAGCTGCTGGTCCAGTGTTACAAAGCGAGAAGTGAAAGAGGAGTATGCAGATTTAACACTCGCAGACTTTTATAATAAAACCTCGCAATATTAGTGGTACAACAAACAAATTGCCCTTTGTGTCAAAATAAAACCTTTTAATGAACAAGATAAAGCAYAATTTCTTAACGTGAACCACAACAATTTACAAACAAGAAATATTTTAACTTCTGGAGCCAAATATTAAACCATTTCAGTGACGCTTACAATAGTCGTCTGTATTTTGTGAATAAATCACACAAAAACAGGCAGTGGTGGAACACAAACCTCTGCCAAAGCCAACAGCCGACTCTTAACATCGTGGTCGCCACATCTCAGCCTCAGGACCCCCCATCGGTGCATCCAGACACAGGAATAGTTTGTTTCAAGCAGAAACATAAGTGCTTGTCAAATGCCACAAAGTTGTTTGTGCTGGTTCAAAATAAGGCCCTGAGTTCATGTTTCCAAGTTTAAATCCAATGGTTTGAAGCTTTTAAGGCTGTTTAAACAAAGATTTAGCAAGTCAACAGTATGTAGATCTGAACTTTGTCAGGATTCGAGTCTGGATGTTATTTATTTTATTATTCTTATAAGATTTTACGTGGTCTAAAATATAATTTGGCAGGAATTGTAGTGTTTCTAGGGTGATGGAAAAGTCACACTGTCTGAGACGTTTGGACAATGCCAGCAGAGCTTTTAAAAAACTTGCTAAGTCCATTTATGTGCTGCGGCTAATGGTTTTCTCCCACTTGTACACCGAAGAGCTTAAACTTTCTATAACCATCTCCATTTATCTCCTGCAGAGCCGTCTTTATAATTAACAATTTTTCAAAGCAAAAAGGATCAGTGGGGATAGACTTTTACAGCCACATTTCCTTTAAAAAAATTTCCTTCAGAACCAAATCTCCTGCTGCTTTGCTCTTTCCTTCTTATTTTCTGTTTTCCATTTGACTTTTTGAAACTTGTGTTCTGCTTTTCTCTGCGTGGGAACACGAGATTTAACCAACATGAGGGAGCTCAGTGTTCCTTCATCAAGGTGAAAACTTAAAATGTTGTTGTCAGTGTCTTCTGTTTGTCTGTCTGCTTATCTGACATCARCGATATGGAAAAATAAAACAAAGCAGCATGAATTTTAGGAAATTTAGAAGAAAGGTGGAAAATGGGAAAAGGAAAAATAAGATTTAGCGTCGATTTGAAAACAGTAAAACATAATTTAATTGTCTCTGATGGGACTTGTAACCTTAGTTTCTAGTTTCCAGTGTCATGTTTTTGGGATAAATACTGAACAGTACTGGCCCGACTAGTAGGTCGTCTCTATTGTTATTGTAGGTCAAGGATGTCACTGCAGCAAATAACTTTTTTATCAAGCAATTACAAGTTGAAGCAGTGTCTGGGAATTTTGGCTGAGACAATCAGGGTCAAGACCAGACATAATGAACACTCCCAAATTTCTAACAAGACTTTATTCATACTTTTTGTCCAAAAGTATTTTTTTTCTCACTATAATTTGTGTCATAAGTCTTAGTCAGCTGTATTGGACAAAACCGTCAATGGTAGATTTATATCAGCCACTTATTCGAACAAATTCATTCATTCGACRGCAGAGGAAATGACTGAGTGCAGCGTGATTCATTCCCCGCCGAGCATCACAACACTCACTTATATGCTGAATGATGACACACACACTACACCATTATTTCAGCTTGTGTGTGTGCGTCCGTCCCGTGAATGGCTTCCACGCACCAACACCTCTCACAAAGTATTCAGAAAGAATTGGAAAGCTTTAGTGACTTCAGCTGATGTCACTCAGACTAAATAACTTGGTTATGACTGCCAGCATTTCTGTGCAACCCATTCACTTTTAAAGAACAATAGAGTTAATCAGAATATGTCTTGTGCTGCCTTAAACATGATGCAGCTGTTTTCCCCCCCACAACCTAATCTATAATCTAATCTATATACTGTATGTATGAAAACACAGTGAAGTTTTTAGTACAYGATCTGTCTTTGGTGATGCATTAGGTTGTGTTTATTATTTTCCTCTGCCATGAAAGAATTTGCCTTTGTGTGTCTGTTAGTAAAATATCTTACAAATCAGTAAACGAKTTTATTGAAACTCACAAAAAGTAATACAGGTCCTTCTCAAAAAATTAGCATATTGTGATAAAGTTCATTATTTTCTGTAATGTACTGATAAACATTAAACT